ACCCATGTTCATCACAACACTATTCAGAATACCAAAAAGATGGAAACAACCTAAGTGTCCCTCAACCAAGGATTGCAAAAACAATCTGTGGTATAAACACACAACAGAATACTATGCAACACTGAAGAACAATGTAGAATCTGCAAAATACTGCATACTGTGGACAAACTTGGAGGACAACGTGCTGAATGAAATCACAGGACAAATATTTATTTTGTCCATGATTATAAAGTCAAGGAAAGGTTTATTCATAGGAGAAAACTTTGTCAGTTGCTAGGAACATGAGGGGAGGAAAGGCTAAATTCTTAGATAGGTTAAAAATATATATGTGTGTATATATATTTAACCAAAACCAAATCAAACTCACTGCCGTTGAGTGGGTTCTGACGCATAACAACCCCTCCTTGGGTTTCCAAGGAGGTAACGTTATGGAAGTAGGTTGTCCAATACACACACACACACACACACACACACACAAATACATATAAACCAAAGATTGTTATTGGTTGCCAGAGGTAGGAGAGCAGCGGCGGGGGGCGGGGGGAAAGCTTTTGTTTGCGAGGCATTGAGTTTATGATAATGGTGGTGGAATATTTTGGAAAAGAAAAGCAATAATGGTGACAACATGACAAATGCCATCAATATCCCTGGGCTGTAAATGAGGAAGTTATGTTGGTGAATGTCTTGTATATGTTTTCACCACAATAATAGTAAAACAACAACAAAAAAGAAAAACCTATTATTACCTGGGGCCAATGAGATCAATTAAGACCTTTGAACTCACTTTGGAATTGGCCATCCTTACACACACCTTTGTAAGTGTCTTCTTCAAGCAAGCACTAATTAGCAACACCCATTCCTTATGATATTTATCAATTCTGCCTTAATTCCCTCTTTCCTGAGTTCCTTTGACTCCTAACGTGTGTTCTAGTATACCCCCAAAAAAAATGTTTCCTAGAGAACACAGATGTATGCAAAAATGGCTTCTTCAGTCAATGATTTGCAGAAAATGCTCATATTTTCACTTCCTTATCAATGCAAGTATACATTTTCATATTATAGCATCTTAAAAAAACTGTAGCCAAGAGACCTAACTAATATTACTTTACAAAATATTTATAGAACATATTTCACCATGAAATATTTTCATATGAGTCTTTTTTTCTTGACTCTTAGTGACTCCTCCTTGGGTTTCCAAGGCAATATCTCTATGGAAGTATATTGCCCAGTCTTCCTTCCAAGGAGTGGCCGGTGGGTTTGAACCACCAACCTTCTGGTTAGCAGTCAAATGCCTTAGACACTGTGCCACCAAAGCTCTTGAATAAATATTTAGAAACGTGAAAATCAATAATTCCAATATTTATTCATTTATCTCTTTATTATGTCACTCAATCTAATTCCAATACATGTTAGATAATTTCTAGAAAGTGTCATCCGATATGTCACTAAATGGAAGACTTTAAAGAGGTTAACAGATTGCTTTTAAACATCATAAATGCATAAAATGGTGAAAGCATATTCTTTATGTGGTCATTTAATTTATAGATAATTAAATGATATAAACAAAGATATTTGTTGGTTCATTTTTTTTTTCTTTTTTTTATGTAAAGCAGGAATGTCATAGTATCTCGTTGATAGTGACTGCTAGCCAGGTCTTTTAGATGAATTCCAATCAGATTTCCAAATATCTTTCAAGTAATTTTCCTCAAAAATAGATAACTGTGCCTTCAAATAAATAGCAGGATACCGTAGAGTAAAGGGTTAACTCAATATGCCTAGGTTGTTTCCGCCCTATTCATCCAAAGAAAGGTTTCACAGGAGTGTAGACTCTTGACTGGTTTCTGTGCAATAGCCTCTGACCATTTGGAATATCCTGCCTAATAAGAATATTTTCATATTCCTGAAGATTTCAGCTATGCTGAACCAGGTTGACAAGATGTGTTGTGCCAACAATGTGAGTTACCATGAATGCCGGTTTTTATGCTTGATACTCTGAACCATATTGAAACACTTTGACTCTGAGGGGCTAGAGACTGACGCATAAATGCTCAGTCTCTAGCATAATTGCTGGGAGAAGTAAATTCATCCTCACATGACTCTACTGGAAGGGGACACTTGTAAGTTTACAAATAGTCACTCCAGGACTTCATCTGTTTGCCTTTTCCTTTTGCTGAATTAATCTGTATCTATTTGTTGCAATAACCTATAACTGTAACCTTTTTCTAAATCCTGTGAATGCTTTTAGGGAATCATCAAGCCAAAAACGAATACCCACATCTTTGTATTTGTATATTGTTTTTGGTGCCATTAAGTTGATTCTGACTCATAGTGACCCTAAGAGCAACAGAACAAAACATTGTCCAGTCTTGCACCATCTTCACATTCACTGGTATGCTACTTCTGTAAAGATATGACTGCTAACCAGAAGGCTGGTGGCTCAAACCCACCAGCCACTCCTCGGAAGGAAGATTGGGCAATCTAATTCTATAGTGAGTGATACCATCTCAGAAACCCAAGGAGGGGTCACTATAAGTCGGGTCCAACTCGACGGCGCTGAACAACACCACCACCACCTTGGAAAGCCAAGGAGGGATCACTATAAATTGGAACCAACTTGACAGCAATGAGTTTGATTTGGTGTATACACATACACACACACACATACATGTGCGTGTGTAT